CTGTGCACACCTTAATAGGGACATTGGTCTGACCAAATCAACTTAGTTTCTAAAAATTAGTAAAAATATGGCAAGCAAAAGCATTTATTTTATTGTCTTTCAAGCAATATTTGACCAGCCTGCCTGTGACCCAGTAGAGCAGGATGCCCTGTCTAAAGGCTTTCAAGTTCAAATGTTTTCAGCTCTGTGTTCTTGGTCAGACATAGTAAGAGCAAACAAAACCCAACACTCCTGACAGCCAGTTTCCAGGCAGGACCTTTGGTGAAGCACGGCCTTTGGGAGGAGACCACTGAGCGTTTCAGGAGCTGCCTTCTTGTGGCTGCAGTTGGCACCACTATGCCTGCAAAATTAAAACGTGGGCTTCTCTGGGAGGCTGAGGCAGGAGAATCACAAGTTCAAGGGGGCAGGGGGTAGGGGTCATCCCTTATATTTTAAACAAGCAAACAAATGAACTCCATGGGTGTTTAGTAATGTTTTCTTTCTTATTTCCTTGGTTGCGAATTTGCCTTATTCTTTAAGCAAAAATTCTCTCCCCAGGCATTTAGCATGAGTGCATTTACAAAACTTTAGTTTATGATTTGAACCAGGAATACATCTATTGCAACAGATTTCTCTAGAGAGACCTACTGCTGTTTTTTATCAGAACCAATAATTACTCCTGCACAGGTTATAATTTTGTAAACTTCCTTTTTTCCCAATTAAGTGTATTGTTTTTTGTTTTTGGTATCAGGGTTTGAACCCAGGGCCTCACACACACTAAGCACATGGTCTATCATAGAGCTACACCCCAACCCCTGAAATTTTCTTTTTCTTTTCTTTCCTTTTTTCATTCTCTTCCTCCTCCTCCTTCCTCTCCTTCTCTTCCTCCTTCCCATCCTCTTCTCCCCCTTCTCCTTTTTATCTCAACCCTTCTCTTCCTCTCCTCTTTCTCCACCCTCCTTCTTCTCTCTCTCTGGCTCAGGCTGATACTCACAACTCTCCTGCCTCAGCCTCCCCAGTGTTGGGATTATAGCCATGCACCACTATGCCTGGCATGTTGTCTTTTTTTCTTTTAACTTTTAAAGGAAACCTACATTTTTTCATGTCAATGGTTTTGTTTTTGTTTTTACAGCATTTTGTGCTGTGTCTCCTTAGTCTCCACCCAGAGCTGGCACTGGTTGAACCGTAGTTAGAAACAATAATCTGGCTGTGACTTCTGGTTTGTACCCAGTTTCAAGTTGTGCCCTCCTTCCTGATCTATGCCTGTTACCTGTTTAACTATTTCTCTGCCACAATGGGGACATGTGCTGTCATGTTTGCGCCTCACAGTACACAATGTGCCTTGCCCAGAGAGATGACCCGTGAACATATTTCTTTTTTTGGTACTGGGGATCAAACTCGGGACCTTGTGCTTGTGAGGCAGGTGGTGGAACCGCTGAGCTAAATCCCCATCCCATGAATATATTTTTGCGAACTGTGTGGATTGGCTAAGTGTGGGACATTCCCAGCCTCATCAGTACTAAGTAAGTGCAATGCCATTGAGCTATGTCCCTAGTCCCTAATATTTGTTTTTGTTGTTGTAAATAGTCATGTCAAAAATTAACTGAATGAAGAAATGATGAGGAGTTGCATAACTAAATCCAGTTACAAAGAATCTTTCTAGCTGGGGATTTAGCTCAGTGGTTCCGCCGCCCACCTCGCAAGTGCAAGGTTCTGAGTTCGACCCCAGTACCAAAAAAAAAAAAATCCCAAAAAACCAAAGAATCTTTCTAAAAGCTGGCAAAAGCCAGGCGGGGTGGCACATGCTTGTAATTCCAACACTTGGGAAGCTGATGCAGGAGGACTGTTGTGGGTTCAAAGCCAGCCTGGGCTACAATAGGGAGTTCAAACCTGCCTGAACTACACAGCAAGATCTTGTCACAAACAAACAAATGGTAGCAAAAACAAAAAGTTGAATCATGATCCCAAATACTATAGGAAATAATCAGAACATAACCTGATATTGCTGGACAATTTCAACTTCCTTTGCTAAGTGTATCTATAGCTCTAAGCGAGTTACCTAGAAGTAACACATTTTCTTCAAACCATTTAACTTGGCAACAGTTAATTCATCAAGGACAGTAACAGTGCCATTTCTCAGTGGCCATTCTAAGTGTTTCTTTTTTCAAAAACAAGACCAAACAAAAAAACTTATAAGATTTATAAGACTTCAAAAGGTTAACAAAATGCTGACTTTCCAAGGATGTACAGTAGGAAATTATTGCTTAGGGTCCAGTACCTAAAATAATGCTTCTGAGTTGGATGCAGTGGTCATGCACTTGTAATCTCAGCTACTTGGGAGGCTGAGGCAAGTTCGAGGCCAACCTGGGCCACTTACTGAGACCCTGACTGACTCCTCTCTCTCTCTCAAAACAAAACAACTTTGTCCTGAAAGCTCAACACATTTACATCTTATAGAATATATATCTACGTATTTTTTCATGTAAACTCTACTCTCCTAGACCTAGGTTAGTTAATGGAAACATTTGCTAAGCTTTTATTTTGTTGTAAATGTAAGCATTTCCAAGTATAAAGCTGTATGAACATTAAAAACCAGTTGCAGTCTAAATTGGACACAAAGATTGGGTACAGAAAAATGGGGGGGCATGGTGGCATACACTTGTAATCCCAGCATTCTGGGACACTGAGGCAGGAGGACTGCAAACTCAAACCCAGCCTGGGCAATTTAGCAAGACTCTGTCTCAAAATAAAAAAAGATTAGGGCCGGAGATTTACCTCAGTGGTTTCGCCGCCTGCTGCGCAAGCCCAAGGACCCGAGTTTGATCCCTGGTACCAAAAAAACCAACAAAATAAAAAAAGATTAAAAAGAAATGGGCAGGGGATGTAACTCAAAGCAAAGACCCTGAGTTCAATTCCCAGCACCTCAAAATAAGAAGAAAGGCAAAGAATGAGCAAGTACTGGTCATGCTTAGAATCTAATGCAATACACTTTGGTACCCAGAGTTCGTAAGGAACAACTGCAAAGCCAGGGGCGAGTGGAGAGACTACAGCACCTCAGAAACCACACCCTGGGAAATAAACTTGGTTGCCATTTCCACCAAGAATGCCAAGGAATATGGACTCAAGGAATGAAAATGTTTACCCTTGTTCTCCTACAAACAAAAAACTTTGTTGCCCAGGATGAAAAAGTCACCAGTAGTTGTTTTAATAACTCATGTATATGTAAAATGTTTTATTAATTAATGATGTTGGTGCCAGGGATGGAACCCAGGGCCTTGTGCATGCTAAACACGTGCTCTACGATGAAGCTGCACCCCAGCCAATATGTTTCATTGAAATGCAATGAATATAAACTGTCTAGATGCCCATCTAAATATCTAATTTCAATGTCCTCTCCTGGCCTGCACACATGGCTTACCAGTTACTTTATACTTTTTAGGCTATAACTAAAGCAAGATTCTCAAAAGAAATAGTTTTCTAACAGAAATGACTGATAGCATTGTGGAAAGAGACATTATTCAGGGCATTATCTATTTCATTCTTCAGTCAAGGTAACTCATCTACTTTTTTAGACTTAAACTTCTAAAGAAAACTGCTATGATCTGGAGAGATTGGCCATAAAACTATTTGTATTGAAAACTTAGCCAGTGTGTCTTTAGTGAACTTCATTCATTAGCATTCTCAGTGGGAAGGTTTCCATATCTCCGTGTTCATTTTATACTTTAATTTGGTTAGTAGGTCTTTGTTTAACTGTCCTATTGAAAGGAGAACAAAGGCGGTTTGGGTGACACAGTGGAGTACTGCACTATATTTTCTCTCTGAAAAAAGCCCGACAAAGTCAGAATACTCTGATACTCTCTGATTTTCTTTAGGACGTTTGGAACCACAAATCAGCTGGAGGATACAGGTCCTCGCTATAGTTAACAGCAGACATCTTCAGAAGAGAAACATCTTGTTGGCCATACAAATTATGCTTTGCCAACTACCCCTGACCCCAAAGGCTGATTATCGTACCAGAAGAGCAGCTCAGTTTCCTGCGAGTGTCTCTTTCTTAAATACCACTCCTCCAGTGAAATCACAGGCCAGGATAAGTTCTTTTTCTGACTACTTCTCTTTATAAAGCATTGATGCTATTCAAATGATAGTGCCGGGTAAATGAAAACAGGACAGGATTTTATTTACACTGGAAAACTTCTCTCCAAAGGGAAATACTTTTCATTCCTTTGCATCTAATTCTCAGTTACAGAAGCTCCTCACATTCCTGCTGCTGGTGATTTCTTTCCCCCTCAAAAGTCAAGCCTCATTTTTCCTTACAGTTTGGGCTCCCTACAGCTTTCTCCCAATATCAGGTTTTGCTTTTCCTGTTTTGTTTGACTTCATTTAAGGCAAGTAAGTTAATTTCCATCTCTTTGTAACATCTGCAGTATTTATATGTTGCTCCTTTTCTATTACTTTCTGGAGAATGACTATGACCAACTTTCTAACTTCGTTTTGCAACATAGATATTTTATTTTCTAATCCACATTTCTTTTTGTAGTTTCTTGAACTTGTTTGGTTGGTGTCACAGCCAGCCAGCCAGTAGAGGCAGAGACCACCAGTTCATTTTACACAGGCCACTGAGCAGTCGTAAGATGGTGACAACTTTGGGTCTCTGGTGACCTGGACTAGATTCGACTCACTGACCTAGAGGTGAAGGCTCTGTATTCCATTACTAATCCCTTGAGCCATCCAGCCCCCTGAAAATGATTCTTTGGTTTTATTATTGCAAAGACCATTTATAAAATCATGAACTGGATTTAGGAAAGCAACCATGAAATAGCAAGGGACAACAAACTGATTGAAATTCCTTAAATGTAGTATGGGCTGAAGTCTCTCGGTGGGATTGGGGGAAAAGTTATATATAGGCACCTCCATTCTTATTTCAGGAGCATGACCTGCTCACTTAAACGTGGCAACTTTAGATCCACTGACCATGCCTCGAGGAACTAAATCCTAAAGAAAGAAAATGGAAAAGCAAACTATGAAATAGCCAATAATCTTTATTTCATACTTCCCCCACCCCTCATCCCTCTCCAAAAAGCACTAATGGGTATATCTGTGATTGTGAAAATACTGCATAAAGTATTTGAATGATCTCAAGTTAATAAAACAAAAGAACACATATCTCAACATACTTTTTGTTTGTGCAGGGATAGAAAAGTTCTGGCCTCTAGAACAAGGAGGGCAATGATATCCTGCACTTTTAAAAAGGTCTATTCCATTTCTACCCATTTGCAATTTAACATTCATGGCAGAAAACCACATTTCTGTAACCACATAGTAAGTTTTAAAATATGGCTGATTCACACACCAATATCAATTGACTTGGCAGTAAAAAAAATCACATTTTCTATTAATATATTTGTATTAGATTCAAAGCCCATATTCTAGCATTCCAGATCTCCATTACATGGGCCCAAACTGGGATTATTTCAAAATCAAGTAAAAGTCTATATTTATTCCCAAGTCGCTAAAATATGCTAATAAAGTTAAATTTGATGTTTTTACATTAAAAATAAAATATTTTGTTTACTTTCAGATACCTGTAACATATAATAAATATCGGGCAGTATAGCAATATAATAAAGTTTTGTGATACCCTGAAATTTGATGTTTTCTTAAAAAAACTCAATATATTTCATTTCAGCCTTAAAGTACAATATCAATGAACAAATCCGTAGAAATAAAATAATATAACACCAAATGCTACAGTTATGGTTTTATGTTGTTGTTTTTTCTTTTGTGGAAACCATATGTCCTTTTAATAAAAGTAAATAAATTTACAGAAACAAAATAGATAACAAAGGAAACAATTCCAAATCATAAGATCTAGATTTAAATTGCCTTGTTTTCCTTCCAACTGCTAGGGTCCTTTTCCCCACCAAGTCCTGGCACTGTGCAGGTTCACTCAGCTCAAGGTAAACCAATCTGCACTGTGGCTCTTTTTCTCTAGTCTTCTTTGCTTATGTACAGCCGTAATTACAGACATGGCTGAAATCACAGTGGATTTCAGAGAAAGCCAGAATTAAACACGATAAAAATTTTAAAAATAACTACTTCATAAATATTTATTATTTACATTAGGGGAAATTTTTTAGTATGAAGTTTTTATACAAGTTGATGAAATGTACAAGCAGTGAGAAGAGACTCCAGCAGTTTAAAGAAGGGCAAAATTAGAATGTAACAAAGGTATGAAATACATTAAACAAAAATAATTTGCACAGAAGCAAACAGGACATGATAGAAACCTTTTTCTTAAAAAATATAAGGTATTTCACAAAAGCCTGAACATTTTACATGTTAGTACTAAAAACAGGGCGAGGGTGGAGGGGAAGCTTCATATATTCTCATCACAAAAATATTTACCAATACTCCTCCAACTGGAGTTTTCTTTTATGTTATTATGATTATCTTACTATAGAGGGAAAGGAGTTGAAAACTGTATACAGACTAATGATATCATCCTTAAATTACAATCAAGGCAGTTTACATTATCTTCTCACCTAACACCTTAATGAAAAGGCCCTGCAGAGAATAAAGGGAATCAAAAGGGAAGATGTATGGTCTTTATTACTAATACTTGTCACTGGTAATAGAAAATTGGAGGTGAGCAGCCCTTAGGCCACACCCCTGCTGGAGTTCTTCACTCACACGGCCTTGGAACCACAGGCCAGCGTGTTCCAGAAGGGACAATCCAGAGTTCCAGAGCAGGCGGCTGTGCTGTCCTCCGTCTTCCCGGGCTCCTCATCCTGGGGCCTGGGAGGCAGGGCCCACTGGCTCCTGCCCCGGAGGAAGGAAGGGAGGGAGGCACAGGAAAGGAAGAGCTGACATGCGGCCCACCCTCAGGAGATGTCAGTGCGCTCGGTGCTTCCTCTTCTTGTGCTTTTTATCTTTCTTCTTGTTGGCACACTTCGGGCAGAACCACTGCATCTCTTCTGGTGGTGCAGCCATTATCCCAACGCAGGGCCTGCACGTCAAATACAGAGAGGAGTTTTCTTTATGTTTATTCTTTCCCATACCCCATGCTATACTGGGGGTTTAATCTAGGGCCTTCACACTCAGCTACATCCCCAGATCTTTTTACTTTTAAATTTTGGGCCATGGTTTTGCTAAATTGCTAAATTGCCCAGGCTGGGCTTGAACTTGAAATCCTTCTGCCTTAAACTCCGAGTCCTGGGATTATAGGTGTGAGCCACCATGCCTGGCCTATTTTCTTCCTTCCTATATTTTTAAGACATTCTTAAAGTCACGTATATTTATGCCTATCTTTCCCTTTCTATATTTTCAAATCATTTAAAAGTCTGATCTATTTACCATAAGTCAAATGGCTCTAGGGCCAGGGATTTAGCTCAGTGGTGCTGCATTTGCCTTGCAAGTGCAAGGTCCTGAGTTCGACGCCCGGTACTAGAAAAAAAAAAAGTCAAGTGGCTCTAATTGATTTATCACTGTTTATTATTAGGCATGTGGATTATTAGAGAGATTAATTTCTCCTTCTTATTTGCCAGAAATATTGTAATTCTGAACAATGGCTTTGTTTTTTCTCCTGTAGATATCATACCATAACTGAACAGCTAGCTATCTTCTTACAATGGGTATTTTAAAAACAAAGTAAGAGGGGCCAGGGATTTAGCTCAGTGGTTCCGGCACCTGCCTCGCAAGCGCAAGGTCTTGAGTTTGATCCCAGGTACCAAAAAAAAGTAATAAGGGGCTGGGGATTTAGCTCAGTGGCGCCACACCTGCCTTGCAAGCGCAAGGTCCTGAGTTCAATCCCCAGTACTGGAAAAAAACCAACAAAAAACCCCCCAAACAAACCAAAAATAAAGTAAGAAGGCTGCATATATTTTGGTTGAGCTTTTTCAGTTGAGGAACTGCAGAAGAAGTTTAAAACAGATGAAGGTGGGCATGGTGGTGCATGCATGTAATCTCGGCAGTAGGGAGGTCGAAGCAGGAGGATCATGAGTTCCAGGCCAGCCTGGGTTCCAAAGCAAGACCTTGTCTTAAAAACAAAAAATAAAACCACCAAACCAACCAACCAACCCCAAACCCCTGCAGACAATCTCTTTGTCTCTGCAGTTTGTGTTAAGATTACAAGGGGTCACCTCGTAATGACACTGTCAAGCTCTGAAGCTCTTACAGAACATCAGTGGAGAAGGAAAGGACAATCCCTGTGTCTCCTCTTATTTATAAGCTAAACAAAACAGTCATAATTTAGGCTGAATACCAATAGTACAAAGACTTGGTTTTTTCAACCGATCTCAATTTACAGGCCTGTGTTCTTGGGAGTAGCTGGACTGGTCCAAAAGCACTAATCTGCAGGACACCCCTCCCCACCCAGCACTTCGCTGTCCCAAGTAGGCAGCAGCCACCCGCTGCGGATGGCAGTGCTCTGGGACACTCACCAGTGATACCAGTCGTCACAATCATCACAGCCGATCATCGGACTTCCGTCGTCAGGTTTGTTACACCCAGGACAGATCCAGATCTGATTGCCCCACTCATCTCGGATCTTACGTTTTCACAGGGGAATGGGCAAAACCAAAGATGGAATGGGGAAAAAGCAGCACAAAGTAGACAGGTAAGAATTATTGCTCCATACTATACGTCACAGACTAACAAATTAAGCTTAAAAAATAGGACAGTAACACTTTAATGCTACGATCATGGTCATCACTGAGTTAGACTTACATGAAAAGGAAAACAGCTACTAAGTACCCCACGATAAAACATTTCTAGTGAATATTCTAAACTCTCATTTTTAAGTCATAAAAAACCCAAGCATTTAATAATCCTCTCTGAACAAAATGATCTAAAAATTCTTAATGATCAAGGGCTTCATGGCAGTAATAATTGATATTTTTGAAAGCTGTGGAGCTCAATGAACTATGGTTTCCTAAACCACATTCACAGGCAAGGGATTAATATATACAGCCAAATGTGCATGTGTCCCCTTATTACTTATTAGCCAAACCCTTTTCTTGAACCAGCTGATAAGATCAAGGGTATAAAAGAGTTGTTACTAAGTAACTTTCCATTCCCTTTATGACATTTTTAGAAAAGTACAATCAACTAAAGGGCAAACGAAATAAGGGGCTCGGGAGACCAGAGAGCTACATATTTAAACATTATTTTGCTACAAGTACTGTATGTCCCCAGTTTATTTTATTAATTTAGCAGTTCTAAGTAGGAAGCATCCCTAATTTACCATTTCTTCAAGCTTTGCATTATCAAAACCAATCTGGAAGAAACAATTCTATGATGTGAGCTCTGGAAAACAGTACTAAGTAAAAACTAAATTTTAGCCTTCATAGTAAGAATTTCATTTCACTTATTTTGCAAGGTGTGGATTCTTCTCATATACTTTTAAATATAATATTGACTAGATATGCAAAAAAAGAAATGGGTTTCTTTGTGTGTGAGGAGGGTATTGGGGGCACAGCTCTTTCACTCCACTGACAGGCTTACTTTAAGGCCTACTACTTTTGGAAACTCTACAAAGGCAAACTACACTGAAGAAGATTTCCTAGAGGAATCTTAAGCAGGAGCATCTCTGTGCCCTCTGGTTTCAGGGCAGTTGTGTCACAAGGAGAACCAGCAGTCACAGGAGCTGGCTGTCCAGCAGCCACGGCAAGGTCAGCACCCTGGGCCTGAAGCTCTCACACATGGCCAGAGCTGCTGCTGGTTGGCCTTTCTGGAAATCAGCAGTGTGCGACTGCACTACATGAAACATGTGCCACAGCGTCTGTGACAACACCGAGTACTTCACAGTTTACCAAGTTCTTTCAAACGTACTCTTTCATTTAGGCATCGTAAAACAAGCTTTGGACAGGTTAAGAATGGGGAACCTGGAGCTCCAACATCACATAGGTAGTGACAAAATCAGCCTTTTTTGCCTAATCACACTCTGTCCTCTATCCAAAGTGTCCCTTTAGGAATTAGAAAGTTTTCAACTCCACTGTCTATTACAATTGGACCTGTGGAGTTAGCACAAAAATCTACTGCAGAGTCAATGTTTTTGAGCTAGACGACAGCGCATGATAGCGGCTCCGTACAGATAAACAAATGGAAGCTGAGAGAATGAGGTAGAAAAGCTTTCCAGATCAACTTACCTCAGTGAGGGTGCTGTTCCTTGATTAAACACATAGCAATTGGCCCTTAAATCACCAATGTGATGATCACAGCTTTTTTATAAGTCACAGCTTTTATTTTGTCTCTGTCAATTTAATATTTTCCTTTAATTTTTCATATCTATATCCTCTGAGTACATATAAGATTTTCTTTTATACTTAGTGGTATTATCACAGTCTCATAATATTTAATGTTCACATAAATTTCCTTCTAAACTCCTTTAAGCAACATGATACACAGTTTAGAATAACAAACACCATGAGTCCCAGCCTGCTATGTTCCAGTCATTGTCTACTTCCAAAGGCCAACTTCATCACTAGCCAAGGGCATCATCGTAGGCAGAGCTGGAGCCACAGTGATGTCAACGCCTCCATGCACTCAAAACATTTTGTTAGCCAGGTGTGGTGGGGCACCCCTTTAATCCAAGCCCTCGGGAGGCTGAGGCAGGAGGATCGCCAAGAGTTTGAAGCCAGCCTGGGCTCCACAGTGAGTTCAAGGGCAGCCTGGAATACATACTGAGACCCTGCCTCAAAAAACAAAACAAAAAAATCTGTTGTCTGTTCATGTGTCGTTCTTTAGTGCTCACAGAACATAGCTTTAGAAGCACTTCATGACTAGATTGAATTCAAGATTTGAACAGATCTGATATTATTTGTTTTTTGGTACTGGAGATCGAACTCGGGACCTTGCGCTTATGAAGCAGGTGCCAGAACCACTGAGCTAAATCCCCGGCCCTAGATCTGATATTATTAAGTATGGGGGAAACACCTAAATCCAGTCCCTGGACAGTGTGGACTCATTTATCATGGTGGGTTTTACAATCGAAAGTCACACTTGGATATTCAGGAAACTCTGTGGCCTAAAAGTTCATTTCCATTTAACATGCAAGTCCTGGTACAGTCTGAATCTTGGCCAGTAAAATATTATAAATAGTGCTGTAATTCAATGACACCAGCTCACTCTTAAAATCTGTGTATATTACGTAAATTATACTTTGAAAGGAATAAATTACTTAAGAAATTCAATATAGGATTTAAGTATTACTATTTGTATAGTCACCTATATTTCTGTATGTAGGTACATGGTCATATTCCAAAATAATATAAAGTAATGAAACATAATGTTTTGACATATTTATGGAGAATGAATATGTGAATACTGTAATATAATATTTTTAAGCCAAGTCTCCAAATGCAATGAAAATACTTTTCCAATCACAACGACTTGCACCTAAGTTTCAATAATGATATACAGGATCTTCTTTGTAATTGACAATACTTCTCCAACTGGCTCCTGAGCAACGTTCCAGTAGCAACTGTGCAAACACAGAGCACCTACCACATAAGTGCTGACGGTCTCGGTCACTACGCTCCGCACAGGCGCCTTGGAGCTCCCTGCTGCCGTGAGGGCAGGGGCCAGGGATGGCAGCAGAGTCGGGCACGCTGCTGCGGCCTGTGGCAGGAGTGGCAGCGGCAGTGGGGTGGGGTTCACATGCACAGAGACCGCGGCTGGGGTAGGAGGTGGTGTCTTGGGTCTATTCAGAGAAGGCGCTGGCTTAGCCTCCGGGGCTGACACCACTTTGCTGATGACACTGTCAATAGGAGAGAGAAAAATAAAAGTCAAAATAGCATAACTGAGCCAAATCACATGTTTGAAAAAAGATATCACAAAAGAGCAAAATGTTTTCGTTTTCTAGCACTTTGGCAAGCTGAGGCAGGAAGATTGCATGTTCAAGCACAGCTTGGGCAACTTAGTGAGATCTTGTCTCAAAATTAAAAATGGGCTGGGGATATAACTAAGCAAGAAGGCCTTGGATTCAATCCCCAGACACTGAAAAAAATAACCCAAAAAACTGTACCAGGGTTGGGGATGTAGCTCAGTGGCAGAACATCTGCCTAGCTAGCATGTGCCAGGGCCAGAGTTTCACACCTAGTACGGAGAGAGAGGAGACACACACACACACACACACACACACACACACACAGAATACTTCACTACTTTCTCTTTACTATTCCACACTTTCTAAGTCTTCCTTTTCTGATAAAGTGGAAATAAAAAGAGCTGTATCAGAGCGTTGTAGTGAGAACCTCAAAAAAAACCACTTTAAAAAGTATGTACAGATGTAAAGGGTTAAGGCAGGCATTATATCCATGGCTACTGCTTGTGACAACACCTGGTGTCAATTGTTGCCAGCCTGTATAATACCACTTTTTCAATGTCCTAGTATGGAAACCACTGTCACCAAAAAGTATTGACTTGCCAGGTGTGGTGGCACATGTCTACAATTTCAGCACTCAGGAGGCCGAGGCAGGAGGATCATTACAAATTCAAGGCCAGCCTGGACTATATAACATAGCGAGACCCTGGCAAAAAAACTCCACAATAAACAAAAACAAAGCATTGATTCTGAATTCTCACTGAAATCTATAAAACATTAAATTATTTCAAGAGACCACCATTAAAGTAAATTAACTCAATTATGGGAGCTGTGGATGGAGCTCAGTGGTACAGTACATACTTAGCATGCATAAGGCCTTAGGTTTGATCTACTTGCTGTCTACTTTCTTTCTGTAAGTGTGATTACTTAACTTCAATATAGCCAAAGACTAAGGGGACTTAAAAGAGTCTGTAGGATACACTTGATGAATGCTTAACATAATTAATGGTGTTTCCTGAGCATTTACTATGGGTACTGGAAACACTTGAAAGCAAATTATGGACCAGACACTGTGCGAAGTGCTTACTTGCCTTATCTCATAACAACCAAATAAGATAAGTGGTTATTTTATTTATTTTTCAATTTTATTTTATCTGTGCTTGCTTCCACAGCACATATACTAAATTTTATTTTATCTGAGGTAGGGTCTTGCTAAGTTGTCCAGACTAGCATTCAACTTGTAATCCTCTTGCTCAGCCTCCTGAGGATTACAGCCTAGGATTACAGGAACAACTGGGTGAAGTAAGATGTTATTATTTTCCTTTTGCAGATGGTAAACTAAGGCACAAAGAGAACTCTGCATAAATTCATAGAAATGACTATGTAATGCATCCAGGACTTAAAGCACAATTTGATTTTAGAAGCCACAACCTTAAAACTACTCTGTCTCTCAAAGCTTTCTATCTAGGTTCATCTACAAGGTTTATCTACAAGGTGGGAGATCAAAATCACTCCTGTGCCTCCAGAGAGTGAGAATTTTCTATTTTTATTTTAGGCTAAAAATTAAAAACACACTATTTCTGAAGGGTGTTTCCCACAATGATTTAACAGATGGGTATCAGCATCAAAACTGAATGAGAAAGCAGGAACCCAGACCGTAAGAATGGATGATTTTGTCCTGAGGGCATTTATACATAAGGGAAATCTGATCTTTGGTTTTAATGAAGAAGACAGATATGAACACCCAAGGCCTGTCCAAAGTACAGAGTCCAGTAGAACTTCTTCCCTATGTTAAGGGTTTGCAAAGGAGAAAAGATGTGAACAGCAGCCAGAGGAGAAAAGAACAATTACTTTCATAGAAACACATGCCAGCCAACTTCTCAACCAGCCTTGATGAAATCTAGAAGACAGTGGGACAGCATCTTTATGTGCTAAAGAAAAATAAACTTTGTCTTTGTCTTAGTTACTTTTCTTGTTGCTGAGACAAAATACCCAACACCAAAAGTTAAAGGAGGAAAGGTTTATTTTGCTCAGTTTGTAGAGGCAGGATGGCAAGACAGAGGGATATCGCAGAGGAGAAACAGTTCATGGCAGTTAGAAGAAAGAAGGCACCAAGCAAGCGAGCTACAAGCAACAAGCCACAACCACAGCTCTTTATGTTTCATATTTTACCCAGGCTACAGGTGGGCAGCACTCACACCCTCAATCCCAGCACCATGTCTTTGATCCCAGCAAACACAAACCCTAGATCTAGCCACCTCTGAAAAGCCCCACCTATGACTGCATTAAGCTCTGGAGGGACATCTAGATACAAGCTGTAACAGTCTTTAAAACAGCTTTCAGAAATAAGGGTGAAGGAGACATTTTCAGGGAAATAAAAGCCAAGACTGTGCTATTGGCAGGCCCTTATGAAAAGAAATGGTAAACAATTCTCAAAGTTTTGGTGTTAGTTCCTTTTTACATAAAAATTACTATGAACCTTTTAAAACATGCACTGTGTTTGTCAAAATTAACCAATTAAAATTTAAACTGAGAAATTAAAAATATTTAATAATTCATTTAAAAGCAGTATGGCTCAGAGTAGAGCTCAGTGGTAAAGCACTGGTCCAGCATGTGTGAGGCCTGGGTTTAATTCCCAACATTATCAAAAAACAAAAAAAGATTTGGGTGTGGTGTTGCATACCTGTAATCCTATTACTCTGGGAGGCTGAGGCAGGAGGATGGCAAATTTAAGTTCAGCCCGGACAGCTTAATAAGTTAGTGAGACCATGCCTCAAAATAAAAAATAGGAAAGGGATGTAGTTCAGTGAGAAGACCCTGAGTTCAATCCCCAGCACCCCCAAAAAAGGTGGCTACCATGTGCAATCATATAAATGAGTTTTTCATATGCTGTCACACTCAAATCTATACACCTGCCTAGCACTTTGAATACACGATTTGCCCATGCATGATTTTATAACATGCATTGGGCATCTGAAAATATTGGTTCATTGAGTTATATACACAATTTGTTAGACAATATGGTAAAAAACAAAAAATCACAGTAGGCTGGTATTACTATACATCTTATCAAAAACAACTTCATTACCCAGGGGGCATAACACACTTTTTATCATAAAGGTGCATAAAAGTACATGGGTGTGTCAAACTTAAATTTATTCTTTAGAATATCTCTGCTGAGGAATTCTTAATTTGAATTTTATGAGTTTTATAATATTAATGAGTGCTTAACAGGAAAAAAATCACAAAAATAAAGTATTGCATTTTTAATATTTATCAAAATTTTCAACATTGACTGGTCTTTGGTGTACGAAGTCCAAATAAGAACATCAGAAATAAAAACCTATGTGAACTACAATGAAAATACCAACAGAACTCTACAACAAAAATCATCTTTGGTTCAACTGAAGCAAAGGCAGTGTTCACACATGAAAATTGCATATTCCACATAGTTATCGCTTACACTGATAACAGTGTTTTGTTTTTCTGTCCTTTCTTGTAGGCCACAGTTGATATCTTTGTGGTTTTCCTGTTATCATAGTAGGTCTTTAGGATGCTGTGCCTGCCTGTTCACCTGTCAGGTCAACGGTGTATTACACAGTTTTTTTGCATAGTTCACCTGGCAGAAACATTTTTTTTCCCCTACTGTAAATGATCTCTCATGAGTTCCAGTCCCAAACCTCCAAGAAAATTTCTCCATGGTATTTTGCACTTGTTATTTTCTTTGTAAACTATCAAACTTTTTATATCACACATGTTTAGGATCAGGTAAAACACAAATATTGACCAACAGTTTGTGTTTTGAGTGACATCATAGTTGCTGCATAACTCATCAACATCTACTCCATCTTTGGTTTTGTTGTAGAAAGTTTCCATCTTAGGCTTGTTTTGTTGAGATTTCCCTATCAATATTTCTATCATGGTGCAATGTGACATCAGCAGTACCATTTTGTTTTTCTTTACCATACACGAGGGCAGTGTAAATCTTTCTGAAATCCAAAGACTGTACTATACAATTCTGTTTAGAAATTGCAATATTTCATTTGGAATTTCTGCTTTGTTACTGTGTACAGTTCCTATGCTGGTCAACTTGTGCTCTGTCAGCAAATATAACATTGATTGGAAACTGGTAAACCAACTGTCAAATGTCACATTTTGAATAGCTTGGGGGATGGGAGCAACAAATCTGTTCACAGCATCATTCAATTTATTACTATACGAATAAGGACTTGGCGGCTGAGTTCTAGGATAAATTTCTAAGTTGAAAGCAATAGTCTTTGTCTCTATAAGGCCCTTAATTTTTATGCCATATTTTTAAAGTAATGTATTCCCTGAAGTTACACTGGCCATGAAATGGTGCAAGATGTTCACCAATAGTCGTGTATTCAGGTGGTGTGTAAACTGCTTGGCCATTACTCACAAATCTGTAAAACAGTGACTGGATAGCAGCCAGATTATCAGTTCTTTTTCTTTCTTGGGGGTGGTTTTGTCATTAAACCTCGGGCAATTTTGAAGGAAACCAAATCTCTTCAGTGTCCCCGATATTCTACAAACCTCCAGCCCACACCCATCACTTTTCCATAAGTCATTTACATTCTTGCGATTACCATGAGAAAGCCCTGCTAAGTACAGCAGACCTATGAATGCTTTCAGTTCAGCTAGTGAGGTGTCATAATAAATACATTTCTGAGTATAGCTATTGGTGCATACAGAACGTTTTACTTGTATTTCGGCCTTTGTGTATTTCACAACATCTTGTAGCATTTCATCTCTTACAATTTCCAATACTGAATGGTAGTGCTGGCATTCTGTCCAATAAGTTTCAACCCTGCCAAGGTCCTCACTATATTTTCGGACCTAGTTCTAACACTGGGTCATTCTATTTGGTTGCATGATCATTTTGCAACACTTCAACTAGTCAAATATGCACTCAC